GCTGGAGTTGACCTTGTTTTGATACAGACCTCATTGCTTTTGTTGTGTAAAACAAGTTGTTCTGATGCTAACTAGGTGCATTTACATGACAAAAACAATGAGGTTTGTATCAAAACAAGGTCAACTCCAGCCTCGCTGCCATTCAAAGGCCAGGTGTCTTAGCAGACAACTGTAAAATGGTCTATTGTTCTTTTATCCATCTAAAAAGTATTCATTCATATACACGCAATTATTTGAAAATTTGAAAGCAAGAATTCTCAAGAGTATCATCACATGGTCTGAATGGGGCGACAAACCGCCCAAGCTAAAGAGGTCTATTATTCCTGATCCTGGCGAAAGACGCTAATTTTCAACACTTTGCACTCAAGTTATGCGCTAGTAAAAATCAGTCATAACAGAAATAGAAACTAGTGCAGTTACTTGAAAAGGTTTTCTGGAATAATTCGGAGGTACTTTAATATTTAAAGGATGATTTCCAGTCTTTACGGCGCACTTCCGAGAGTTTGTTTACGTTTTCTGTTTTGATTCGTGTAAGACGTCACAAAATGTAACATTTCGCAACTAGAAACATGAATTAAATTCAAAGTTCCATGTCAACCGCCATTCTGGATGTGAAGCTTTATGCTTCGTTCTGTCCGACATCATGAGATGAAACAATTTAGTAGCTGTAAAACCAAAGAAACTGTTGAAAAAGAATTTAAAATGTTTTGAAGAAAAGGTATGTGATTCGTAACGAATAACATCGATTCGCATCTCATCAAGTGAGACTCACAAACATTGGGGTTCCGAGGCTGCGCAGAACGGATCGTTAATCATCTTTAAATAAGCTAATAGTTCTCCCTCATCAGGTTATGTAAAAGTGCGCGTCTTTTTTTATTTCGTATCTAGTTGAAATGTCTCAACTTGATCCATGGAAGAAAGCAAGATCTGATCAGTGCTGATAATAAAACCACATAGTATTACCCTTCACATGAACCTTAGAGGTATCATCGTTACTTGGCCCTTACTGACTGGTTTTGTTTCCAGGGAGCTACGGCTGAACAAAGGCGACCATTTGATGAGCTGAGCTGGCAAAAGATGTTGCACAGGTGGAAGGGGCTGTCTGGATGCTACACATCCTACAGTGTCCGATGGTATAGTGTGACCGATGGTGTAGTGTGGCCGATGGCATAGTGATCAGGGTAACTGATCAGGGTAACCACTGATCGGGGTAACGGACCGTAGGGCGGCTGTTACTCGTCTATCTTCATTCAAGCAGTAAATTGCGCTTACACTTTGTGTAACAATGTTTTACACGGAACGCCGGTGAGTTCATATTGCAGCTTATAGGCGGTGGAGCAGCGGGGGAGGCGGTGCAGGGGGGCCGTAGCCTCCCCTAAACGAAAATTCGGGGGAAGCAGCTCCCCAAGCATCGCCTTGCCGGTGATAATATCGTTAGCGCAGCATAAAATTGCTTTCCTAAAATATTCAAGCTCGTGATCTTTTATTTTCAAAAATCGTTTCATCATGATCGCGCTTTGCTTGTGTCAAAAAATGTACGAAAAGGACATTTTGAAGAATTTTAAGAGGGTTATACGCTTGCCTTGCTTTTGGTATACGATGTGCACCCCACCCACCACTTTCCTTCTTTCTGTACCTACCGCCAAAATGCCTCAGTTTTTCTTGTAATCAGAGATCGGTATCTATTCCAAATGATTTTGAAACTGGCCAGATGACACCAACTGTCGGAACCGTGACGTGCTGTTGTTAGTAGCGTTTGTCGTGCCGATTATCATACTCAGATATATTTTGTTTTGTGTCGTCCCGACTAACCTCCCTTGGCTCTCATAAACACGAAGTTGTAAAGGAATACCAATTACATTTTGAATAAGTCATTGCATAAGTTTAATATCATATATACTGTAGGAGAAGGATATCATTACTTCACGAAAGAATTTTGCTCATTCAGTTATATCGCACAGAAGTCAAGCAGTCGAATCCCATTCCAGCCTGATTTTGTTGTTGTTGTTGTTGTTTTCGATTTTTGTTGTGACTATCATGTAGAGTGTGAAGTTCATAACTGGGACGATCTTACATGAAGTATGATCGAAAATGTTGTGTGCGATGTATTTCATATTTACAATCCAGGAATAGTGAACGCTTGTCTCAGAGAAAAACGAATTACAATCCGGCTGCGAGTATCGTTCCGAAGGGAGAGAATGATTCCTCGTCAAAGAGGCGACTAGAAAGAAATATTTAAAAGCCAAGATCCCAACAGGGTACTTTTTGTAAGAGGTCACTATGGTCGACAATGTCAACAGTTAAAAATAATCATCATCATCATCATCATAGTTGCAATAAAATTATTACAAGCAAAAATAACCATATTAATAACAGCTGGTGGAACTGAGGAAGTATATTCTTGCATATTAATTTGTTGAAGTTAAATTACACATGTCTTGTGTGTACGAAAACTGCATTTTCATTGCGAAAACACGTAAACAGCTCCGCTGAGACTAAAGTTAACCAAGATAGAAGTTCCGGTAAGATCAAAGGAAAGACTGTTTTCAAAGGAAAGAAAGAAATATTTACATTTGAACATTTATTCGTCGTGGGTGATAGTTCCGGGGCCCCATCAGTCGGCCTGACAAGTAAGGGATTTTCTTTCTTTTGAGTTTACTTACTGAAAGTGCATTTGGGGGGTTATTCAAATAAACTAGTTTTAATTAAAACCTAGGAGATTTTTACAGTAATACAGTAATTAAAGTGTAGTGACCAAGGTGTTCCACATGGGTGGTTTTATCAGATAGACAGTCTTTTTGTGGCAAAGGAGGCTTCATTTTTGCTTTGCCAACGAAAACGACCGCATCTGGTGAGTGGGAACAGGATTATCAAGAGATTCAAGCTTCAAAAGATTTAATTTGGTTGGAGAACTTGGCCAACGCAAAAGCTAAGAGCTTCATCGTAAGTCTTTTAGCTCATCGTCTCGACTTAAAGGGGCAAAAATATTATAACAATTGTACAGAAAACATCGAGGACTAAAGGAAGAGGAAGAAGAAGAAAAACAAAAACAAAAACACAATGACCCAGGGTCTCGAAGATAGAAATACAGCGACTGTGGTTTCAGAGACTGCCATATTTTCGGTGGTGATGATTCTTTCACTCGTTGGAAATCTTCTGGTCTGCTTTGCTGTATACAGAAACCCGAGGCTACGCTGTCCAAGTAACTACTACATCATCTCCTTGGCTATGAGCGACATTCTACAAGCTCTGTGCACGATGCCACTATCTGTTGCTTTCCTAGCATCAAGCAGATGGCCGTTTGGGACTTCTCTGTGTTATGTCTCGGCCGTTTCGAAGTTATCCCTGGCGAAAATCTCCTTATACACAATGGCACTCATGGCACTGAACAGATATTACAAAATTGTGAAGGCGTCCAAGTATCAAGCTACATTCAAAAAGAAATTCATCATTCTAACTACGTCGATGGCCTGGGTAACTCCAATTTTTGTATGGCTTCTCGCTGCGTTTGCGTTCGGTTTCAACGCCGAACCAAAACCGCAGTTTGGAGTTTGCATACTGGACTTTCATCAGTTAGTTGGTTTCGCTATGCCTTCTCTGATCGTTTTCTTTTACTTGCCCTATTTTATCATCGCTTTTTGTTACTGGAACATTTACAGAGTGGTTAACACGCACAATTCCAGTGTGTCCTGGCAAAGTTCAAACATTCACGATATTAAGGTTAGCAAGACTTTGTTCGTCACAGTCATCGGCTTTGCTAGTCTTTGGATGCCAGCCCATGTTATTCTCATCACGTCAATTCAAGTAACACTACCACGTGAGCTCACACTTCTTGGAACCCTCCTGGTTTTCTCGTCGAGTTGTGTCAACCCTTTCATTTATGGTTTTATGAATCGTGCATTCAAACACGAGTTCAAGAAATGTTTGATGCTAAAAAGAATGCACCGAGTAAGCCCGTAATTTAGTTCAGAACGTAACAAAATAAAATCTTTTCTTGGCCAACCCTAAAGTATTGCGGACTTCCGATCTCTTGTGATTTGCGGGCTCCGTTCATTTTGTGTTTTGAGTTCTGCAGAGGTTTTTACGCCAATTTTGGTGTCAAAAATTGGAACAGAATTGAACAATCTGTCAGAGATACACCTTCACAGAAGCGCTTTTAAATGGAAATCCAAAGAAAAATGACATTAAAAAACTCCGTTAATGAACATTTTAATGCACGTACTGATTTATTTATTTATTATCAGGTTTACCCTCTGGTTTAAGATTAGCTTAGGGAGGGCCATTATGTAAAGTACTGAGTCATCAGTAATTAATATTACCCTCTAAAATAAAATGTTATTATTATTATTATTATTATTGTTATTATTGTTATTTTTTTTAAATATAATAATAATGTTCATTAGTGGCTTATAAAAAATTACAACTGTAAAAATTCTTAGGACAATATATGTCAGGGAAATACTAACTTACAAACGAATTACAAATTACACTCATTCTTTACAACCCTTATAAATTTGTCTATTGTCATTTGTCCAAAAAATTTAAATAAGAATAGTAAAAAATNAAAGTTCCCAAGTTGGTGGCTTTAATACTCCGCAAATTGTAAATTTGTGACAAAAAATCTGGAAAGTGCTCAAATATTGCTGCAGACTCCGTGGCACCGTAATAAAAGCGCAAATTAGCTTAATCAGTCTTTGAGGAGACTCTTTCATATCGGTCAAGTAGCGCTGTTCACCTTCAATACTTTTCGTTGAAAAGCTTCTCAGCCACCAATATCGTTGTGTATTAATTTTGAATTGTGTTATTGTGAACAACAAAGGTGGCAACAGAAAATGAAAGTGGTATTTCGTGATAAGAAAATTTGCGTTTTTAGTAACACAACATAGATCTTCCTTATCTTCGTCACTACATCAGATATTTAACTTTTTTTTCATTTATCTCCAAAAAACAAGCTCATCTTCCGTGTGTTTTGGAGAAAACAAGGGTTTCATATTGCATACCTTTGCGATGTTATGGAAATAGTAATAATAATAATAATAATAATGTTTATTAGTGGCTTATAAAAAATTACAACTAAAAATTCTTAGGACAATATATATGTCAGGGAAATACTAACTTACAAACGAATTACAAATTACACTCATTCTTTACAACCCTTATAAATTTGTCTATTGTCATTTGTCTAAAAAATGTAAATAAGAATAGTAAAAAATATTCTACACATTTAAATTATTATTATTATTATCATCATTATCATTATCATAATCATAATCATAATCATAACCATAATCATAATCATAATCATAATCATAATCATAATAATAATAGTAATACATCAACAAAATACCTGGTAACATCAACATACATGAACTCCAGAAAATAACTCTCCTTTCAACCCCCCACCTTCTCAGGCGGACCTCTCCATCAAGTAGAAACCCTCTTTGCCTCCCAAAGTGCATGGTTTGGACTCGGATGCTACGAGAGAAAATCACCCACAATGACACTAGTAGTAGTAATAATAATAATAATAATAATAATAGTGATAATGATAATGATAATAATAATAATTTTAATTATAATAATAATAATAATAATAATAATAATAATACAATTATAATAAGTGATAGTATTTGACCAAGTGGAGTACAATAATTATTTAAGGGGCACCGGTAATTGGTCACGTGATTTCAAAATCTGACGAGCACACAGCGCGAGGCCAATTTGAAATTACGAGCACAATTTCTCCCTGAATTGCGCAACACAAGATCCAGTTAAATTTTGAGATTAATAAAGTCTCTTGAGAACTTCTTCTTCTCTTAGTGAGGAAGTCGGTAGGGTTTTCAATAAGTTGTAGCTCACGTAATTGACATGCGAATGGCGAAGGCGTCCAGTTACAGGTAACCAGTTATAAGAAGTCTAAATTTATGTGGTGAAAAAAAGGTAAAGTCTGCATACGAACCAAGTGGCCCATCAGGCCGCAGCTTATCCCGGTTTCCATAGCATGAAGCGACTAGGAGTATTTCTTACGGTGGCCTGGAAGGGACATGGACTTTTTTTTTATCCGCGACTTTTTTTTT